GCATTTTACTCTGTTGCATATGCTGCAGCTTCGCTTTTTGAGTAACATGATGTAGAATCTTCTTTGGTTTATTCTAAGTCTAGTATATTTCCTTTGTTTTTCCATCAGTTTAAAGTTTTGAAATTACTTTTTATTTTCTCCTCTACTCTCTTTGGTTTTCAATGTTTTTTTTTGTCCAGTTTCTCCATTTTTGTTTCTTTTCAGTGGGCTGTTCCAAGTTTACCATAAAATAATTCCTATTCTAGCTGTGCTAAAATATGAGTACTTCTTTTGGTTAGATTTATAAGGCCTGAAGATGTTCCTGTACAGTATGGTGGATTGAGTCGACTCAACGATTTGCAGAATGGTCCTCCTAAACCAGCCTCCGAGTTCACTGTCAAGGGAGGAGAGAAAGTGAACATTCAAATTGAAGGGATTGAGGTCAATTTCCGTTGCCTTTTATTAACTTTGATTTCCTCAGTCCATTTCATATGGAAATTTGTCATTAAAGAAAAACTTTCATAATCTCTGTGAGTCTAAAACTTTGTGATGGTAACTAGAATTAGTTGGTAATTAATCTTGTCGGTGATTCAGGCTGGTGCAACCATAACGTGGGACCTTGTAGTGGGGGGATGGGACTTGGAATACACTGCAGAGTTCGTGCCCAATGCGGAGGGTAGCTACACCATTGCGGTGGAAAAGCCAAGGAAATTGAGTCCATCAGAAGAGGCCATTCATAACTCCTTCACATCAAGAGAAGCTGGGAAAATGGTACTTTCTGTGGATAATTCTGCTTCCAGGCGAAAAAAGGTTGCTGCTTATCGTTATATTGTGCGCAAGTCAGCCCTGGTGTAGCTTCTCAATAGAGGAGTTTGTAAGAGTATTTGTCTTAATTTTGTTTTATTTTGATCCTTTTTTCTGTCTTCCCCCTTTAGGGGTTTAATCAGTGATTGTGAACTTTCTTTCTCTCAAGTCTACTTGATAGTACTAAATTGCTAATGTGCTGTATAAATATGGAGTTGTCATTATATGGCTTAATGTATACTTAATAGAAGAAGAAGCAGTTTAACTTTCGCTTAAAAAGAATCCTTATCTGTACTTAACATCAGAAAAAGAAAAAGACATCATCCTGTCTCATATAAAAGGAATCTGGAGACTTGAGACAAAGCAGAAAGCTTTGTCTGGTAGCCTGTTGATCCATGGAAAAAGGCTTTTTGCTAACAGCTTGCTGAGATCAATCCATTGGGTGAAGAGAGACAGATTTCTTTGCGTTGTGTCTGAAAAGGATCTTGTTTGTGGTCACAATCTTCTGTTGCTTTCCTGTGGATTCTTTTTGTGTTCTGATGTTTGGGGGTGCTTAGGTTTGGATCTGTCAAAGGTCTAAACCAAAACAAAGTTTTAATGTGTAGATATAGACTGGACTTTGGGGACGGGGGGCTTTTGGCCTAGGAGGGAGTCGGAAGGATTAGAAATGTTGGTGATGAGATGCCAATGCAGGTAAAAGAGTCTGTGAGTGGTCACGGGTGGTCTGAGTTCAAACGTGCACTTAATGTTGAAAGAGGAGAGCGTATGGGTAATCTGATGGTCGGATGAAGTGATGATGACTGTGTCCTCTGTTTCATTAGGTACGGGTGCCCTCTCTTACTTAACATCCACGCAATCCATCGTCAGAATCTAGAGACAGAAGAAGAATTTGTTTAATACCGCTAGGAATAGGATGCATTTTTGGGGTCACAGTAGCTGCTAGACAGCAAGGGTATTTGTGCAGTTTTATGAAGTTATGGTGTCGATATTTTCCATCTGATATGAGGAATGGAAGGCTCTAAGCTTGCTGTCTGCGGGGCAAACAGGGAAGAGAGAACCCCACATTCACAGCTTTCAAATTTCAAGAGGTTCGTACCTCCCAAGTGGACAATGAGTGGCAGGGCAAATACAGCTTTCATATTGTACATCATCTTTTTTAAAAAATAAGGCTATGGTTTTTCCCTCCCGACATGTTTAAAACACAAGTCAACAAAATCCACCGAGCGCTTGTGCCTAAATCTTGGCAAGTTGCAATGCGCTTACCTAATTCCTTGGACAACTTCCCGGAGGATTTGGTACAAGTTCTTGCAACTTAGAGGCCAAAGTACCAAGAGATAGTTCTATGGTTTTCTTCCCCCTCAAAAAGTCATTAGCATGTTCACATACGAAAACTATGGTGTTAATCTTTTCTGAGAATAAATCGTTAACTTGCACATGTTGGGGCCATAGACCATGACTGACGGAATATCGATTAGGCTCATGTCCGAAGATGCGTCGGGCTTTTACTGAGGAAGCTGAAGTCTCTGGAGACTTCTTTCTAGTCCAATCTATCAACCCAGCACAATCCCGCTTCTGGGAGAAGCTACAATGAAAATTTAACAAGTGCAATGCTAGCAGTTCCGGACGTGTCATACCTAACTGATCCACAAATTGGACACTCGAGCTTTTAATCAGTTCCGGACGTGTTTGGCATGCATGGAGCCATGTAAGCCGAAATGCCCCCTATCTATTTCTTTTTTGTGCATATGTAAAGAGAGGGTGGCGTCTTTACTGCTAAAAAACTGCAAGTAGAAGAAACAGAAGAAAATGTCTCAGGCAACTTTTACACAAGAGGGTCAAAAAGACACAGTCCTTCAGGCTGTTGGGTTGGGCACTTGGAGATCTGGTTCTCAGGCTGAGAACTCTGTCTTCACTGCAATTGTTGAGGTAATGCTTCTCTTTGTTCTTTGTATAAAGTTTCAGTACATATCAAACTGCAGTTTCATGATTTCGAGCTAGCTAGGTCCAAACCTTGAACATTGACACAAATATGCCTTTTTAAGGAGTTTTATCCCTTGCTAGTTCTGATCGATTCACTGTTACATCAAGCTTGTTATTATGTATATGTTCTTAATGTCAGCTTGATAGATACTAATTCTCATGAAAATCTTTAATCGTGGCTTCCGGCTGGTTATAGACACATAGATACAGCTTGGGAGTATGGAGTTCAAGAAGATGTCTCTCTCTTTTTTGAAGAGTCATTTTGCTCATTATTAAGTATCCCAACAAGCAAATTTCTCTAAAATTTTCTTTCTTCTCTCAGGTTGGTCATGCGACCAAGGCAGCAATACACGGAGGACTTGAGAGAAGGGATCTTTTCATTGCATCCAAGTTATGGTAATATTTTTGTTTGACTGCTATGCTTTTAGTATACTCTTAGGGACAGTATGTTTTCAGGTCCAAGTCCGAGGATGGATGCTTCAAAAATTTTCAGCTGTTGGTATTCGTATTACTAGACACTAATTGTTTTGAGGTTGTAAAAGATTGATGGGTTATTAGGCAGCTGTGTTCTAGTTGGGGTATTTCTTCTGATAGGATCCTCAGAGGCTAAAAAATGCAAAGTACTTTCCTTCCCTGCTCTGTTCTGGTCGATTTTAGCTGTTAATATTCTTTGTTGCTGGCTTGCTGCTGTTCTGTCAAAGTGTTTGTCTGCTTTTGATTTCTTTTACTCGAGAGATTTGGTGGTAAAATATATGTGCACAGACTTGTGCCCTGAAAGGGTTCGACCTCAGTTGAAGAATACCCTTCGAGAACTGCAATTCGAATATCTTGATCTTTACCTGGCAATTTAGATCATCTCTTGCCGTTTTTATTTTCCATTCTTGCGACAAACTTAGTAGCTCTTGCCATATGTTGAAATTCAGGAACATAAATATGTTCCTTTGATGCAGATACACTGGCCGTTCCGCCTTAGAGATTAGCCAGCAGGCCTCCCAAGGCTGGGGATATACAGGATTCGACATGGAAGGGGTTTGGAGAGAAATGGAAAAGCTTGTCAAGGAAAACCTTGCTAGAGACATTGGTTTTTTCAATTTTACTTTGAAGAAGGTGAATAAGCTGCTGGGCTTTGCTGAAAGTATGCCTTCTGTGTGCCAGGTAGATTATATCCTGCTAGCAACGTACTATATAGAAGACAAACTCATAAGGACCATCATTTTTGTGGTGATTTTGGGCTCAGATGGAAATGCATCCAGGATGGAGAAATGATAAGATGCTGGAGGCTTGCAGGAAGAATGGCATCCGTGTCACTGTAAGATTAACATAGTTGGCCGTTACCTATTTGATATTAGGATGGTCTATATATGATCTGAGTTAAATTCCAGGCATACTCACCACTTGGTTCATCGGAAGGAGGTAGAGATCTTATCCATGACCAGACGGTTGAAAGAATAGCAAGTAAGCTACACAAGACCCCTGGTCAGGTGCTGGTAAAATGGGCCCTCCAGAAGGGGACTAGTGTCATCCCTAAATCAAGCAACCCTGACAGAATCAAGGAAAACATTAAGGTCTTTGGATGGCAACTGCCAGAAGAGGACTTCTAAGCTCTTTGCAACATCCAGATCAGGTATATTTATCAATTTAAATTGATAGAAACTTCTTTGTAACTAGAACAAGATGTACACCTAATGGGGTTGTGGGTGCAGAGACGAGTTCTAACGGAGCAGAATTGTTTGTGAACAAGGATGTTGGGGCCCTTTAGGAGCGTGGCTGATCTATGGGATTATGAAGATTAATCCTTGTTAAAGAGGCAGAAATCTATCTTCTGCTATTGTTCCCTGAGGATGCAGTGTTCTGAGTAGCTATGATAGTCTTGTTGCCTAGATGTTTAGTAATGCAGTTTGGCATATGTATTTGAGCCTTTACAATAAAACCTTAGCTAGTAACTCAGAATCTCATGCTATGGTGACAGTTAAAAGCCTGCATTAATCTGCATTTGTAGTTGGTAGCATTCCAAGCTTTTGTCACTTATATCTTGATCTTAAATCCAGAACAATGTTGGTCCATATATACGTTTTTAGAAACTATTCTACCAGACAAAATAGTTTGCAGTTCATGTTGCTTGAGAAAATTAACCCAAAAATCATCTCTTCAACTTTTTCTACTGGCCCGAGATATATATACCTTGCATTGCCTTCTTAGATTTTCAATCAGCTTTGCTGCATGCCGGTGCATGGGAAGCGAATCTCAAATTTTGGTTACACTTCGTATGGTCCATTAATAGATCTTTGATGATCTACTTTGATTGTGTCTAAGGAGAGCAAATGACGCTCGATGTAAAAGAACGTCCTCTCCTGCACTGGTGATCTCTAGGATGATCCTTGACACTAAGATATGTTGTACCACCAAGATTGAAACCTTCCCTCTGAAATCCTTGGAGGCCAACAAATACCCCATCAATCCCAACTCTGGGTGCTCGTTCCACTCTGATAATCCAAGCAGGAATGACGACTCTGTCCGCCTTCCTACCAATGTCAAATCAAATTCATTCTCCATTGAACGAATGAGATTACACGTTTCGGCACTCTCTGCCAAGATCTCCTCTTTGTACGCAGCTTTCTCCCTCGTCACATTTGTTTTCTTGAAAGTATGGATAGTTACACTATCTATCCGTTTCTCCTCGGTGTTATCAGCAATCTCCAAGAAAGCAATGAGTCTTATTACGGTCCCGTTGACATGTGGATGATTTGCCACGCATGTTGCATATGACAATGAAGAGCACACCGAGGCTATAAAGGCACCAGCATCCTTGAACCGACCTTGGGCCTCCTTGACTGCCTCGATCAACAAGAATTCCAACAGAGCAAGGGGCATTATCAATTACCTTGAGATTAACATTGCGAAATTCTGGTGATTCTGTCGCTATGCCACTGCTGTTCCATTTTATATGGAATGGGATGATTGTAAGACATGTCCTCTTTTCAATTGACAACAAGCAAACATCATTGTGCAGGGTTGTACGAGGAGAAATTGCAGTGAAGGCTTGGAAGGTTACAAGTGACTCATATTTTCGTTCAAAGATCTGAAGGCATTGATGATACTTTCAGTTGGCTTGTAAAGAGAGTGATGAGGTTTGACGTGTGGATGATGATGACGCGGAAGTGAACGATGATAATGTGTTTCCCAGGATTGTGAACTGACACCGCAGGTGAAACTCCAGCAGCGAGCTCGAGGTGAAGAAGATAGATGCACACCTGACTCTCTCTTGCAGGATTGGAGGCTTGGAGGATGGATTGATGATG